AAGCAAACTAAAGCTGTGAACAATCTCAATCTCTTCACCATCCATCCTGATGCTGCCAATTGGCCCAGTGGTGAGAATCTTTGTCTTCTTGACTTTTTTTTTTACCCTATGTAAAAAAAAATCCCAGAGGTATGTGGTTCAAATCCTCCAGACGCTCTGTTGGAGAAGGAGGTACAATCTCCCCCCTGTACCAGTCAGATCCGATTTGACGATACACACACACATAAAAATAGTAATTTAAAAAAAAAAAAGAGTCATCGTGCCAATCCGCCTCACTGAGGGTCATCTTCTCTTCCTCGCTCTGCCTTGCCCCACGTGATGTCTGTCCCAAGGACCAGCCCCTCCTGACAACATGCCCAAAGTATGTGCGACGAGGCTGCATCATCTTTGCTTCTCAGGAACACGCTGGGTGCACCTCGTCCAGACGGCAGACTTGTTTGTTCTCTTGGCTGTCCACGTATTCAGTCCCCTTCGTCAACACCACAACTCAAAAGCATTTCATCATCTTCGTTTTCCTTATTCCCTGTCCAACTTTCCTATTCACATAAAATAACTGAAAATCAGCCTCTAAAGGAGGCCCTGGGGGTGTAGTCCGTAGGCACGCCTCTCTGACCATTCGAATCCTCCTCCGGCAAGCAGCTCTTGGGGAGAAGGACGGCTGACCTCCTGCCACGTGATTTACGGCCTGGGAGCCCCAGTGGAGGGTCAGCTATGAGTCAGCTCCCTGACAGAGGGAGGGAGCGTGAGGGATAAGGGAGGTATGCGTTCTTTACAACAATCAGCATGGGTCAGAAGGGCAGCAGTGGCCTAGAGAAACAGCTCAGGAGGCAGGAAGGGGGAGGATGCGGGGAGTGGGGACAATGAACACAGGAAGCGGGGAGATGCTGTTACACTTCAGGCTGTCACAGCTCGAACCCGGATGACCGCGGAGTGGAGACCCACTCGCCCTGCAAACATCCACCTGAATCCCAGGGAAGAAGCTAACAAGCAAACGGAAACGCTCTGCCCACAGCACAGAGGAGGAAACTGAGGCCCCGAGAGGTGAAGGGTCTCGTGGGTGTCCGTGGGTGTGAGCACAGCATCAGTGCAGCCACTCAGGCTCCTCCGAGGCCGGGCAGAGAAATCTGACCCATGTCCTGCCCGGCCTGACTTCTCAGTTCAGGCCCAGCAACCTCCTTCCCTGGAGGGAAGCCCCGTGGAGGGCGGCCAGGAGAGGGACCTGTGACAGGAGCATAAGCAAGTCTCTGAGTGGGGTGCTCGGGTCCCCACAGGAATGCTAATGCTGCTAAAACTCTCTGGATGGGTTTCTCCAGATCACAGTAAGGAGCAAATGAGTAGTCACTGCCTGTGGCACCCAGTGAGCGCTGTCCCTTCTCAGCTGTGCCGGGGTCAGGGTCCTCAGCAGAAGCCAGAGGCCCCGGAGAAGTGTTCCTGCCTGACTCTGCATGCTCAGTCTAGGGGAACAGCAGCAGGCCTGGCGAGAGGCAGACCCCACTGTGAGGCTGCCCCGTGAGCAAGAGCACAGGCCCAGCTGCCAGGGACCTGCAGGGACAGCATGCGACATACCCAGTGTTCCAGGTCCCCAGACCTCCAGACTCTATAGCTTTTCCACCACCCCTGCCATCTCCTCCCACGTGGACCCAGCTCCTCCCACGTGGACCCATCTCCTCCCACGTGGACCCAGCTTCAGACACTCGTGTGACCTGGCTTCTGGTCACACTGAGGGCCTACCAACCTCAGGGGCAAGGAGCGTGACAGGACAGTGCCCCATGGCCGGGGGATGAGTCCTGTTTAACAGCCAGTGGCCACAACGGTCCAGGAGGTCTGCCACCCTCCCCCAGCCCCAGGGGGAAAGCCAAAGTCCAAATCCTGGTGGCAGGGAGTGTGGGAACAGCAAGACCATGCCACCATCACTGGGAAGGGGGGGGCAGCTAGAGCAGCAGAGCAAGAAGGGGGTCCCCTTGCACTTGAGGGGTATCAAGGATCTGCAGACCCTCCTTCGTTCACTTGTCCTCTAAGCTGGAGGGCCACTCTGTGACTCAGAACCGTCAGAGTGGGAACCTAGGCCTCTGGAACTCCCTCATCCACACACTTCAGCTCCCCCAGTCCAGAAGCTGGGACACCTGGGGATAAATACCCGCAGTGGTGGGGCGCCCACTCACTGGCCTCTCAGGGGAGTCCTCTGACACTCCCAGGCCACAGCCAGAGCTGTCAGCTCAAACCTCCTGAGTCCACATCTGAGAGCCTGCAGTAGGGAGCCCTGGTGGTGCAGTGGTTAAAGAGCTTGAGCAGCCAGAACCCACCATCCACGTCACAGAGGATGTTGTGTCCACCTGCCTACTGACCTGCAGAAACCCTCCAAGGTGGGTCTTCTATGTCCGGAGTCATGTCGCCCATTGAGTTGAGCACAACCCATAGAGACCCTGTGCATGACAGCCTGTGCCGTCCTCAGCATCTCTGACACGCTCCAGCCCCCCGCTGCAGTCACTGGCCATGACCCAAGTGGTTACTATACAAGGAATCACTCCCCAGCAGCAGCTGTAGGCTTCCAGCTCGGGTAAACTGCTGAGCGGAAAATGTCTAAAGACCACAGGGAGAGGTCAGTCCACCCGTGGGCGGAGACAGCAAAGGTCAAGGTCAGGGGAAGATGCAGGCAGCAACATCTCCCATCCTGAAGCTGCTGTCGAGCTCATGGGCAGCTGGAACCGGAAAGGGCCACTTCCCCAGGAAACACACACCGGTGGTGGGTGGGTGGAGGGTGCAGTT